TAGTGATAAATAAAAAGTTCATGGCGACAAACAAATTAACGTCTACAGTTGTTTGCCCCGGTCGGGCCTTACAAGTGTCTGTGCGGTGTCTACATCAGCAAAAGTGTAAAAATCTTTTGCCGTATTGCCCGTTCAGGCAATACTCAGCGAGAGCGCGCAATATACGTCAGATCATGCGCTGTCATGGGTGGTCTTGCAATGTCGTAAATATATTGCAAGACCTTGCAATATCCTACAAGACCAGGCAATATCGGCAATACCGGGCAATATTTCGCATTATTGCAGGTATTGCGAGGTATTGCCGGTATTGCGCGCTCTCGGAATACATTTCCGGTATTGCAAGACCGTGCCACAACTGGCGCTTCAGGCAATGTCCGCAATCCTGTAGGATATTTTTACACTTTTGCTGATGTAGGAGGGGATAAGCTAAATATACTATGCGTATATGCACCAACGACTGAAGGAGTGCAGGAACGGAAAGATTTCTTCCAAAAGGTCAAAACCTTCTATGAGACACATCGTGATGTGCCCAAACCACAGGTAATGGCGGGGGACTTCAACAACATTGAGGATGCGATTGACAGGCTGCCCGTGGGAGAACAGCCCGACTCATCCATTGCGGACCTGGATGGGCTAAAACAAGATTTGAATTTAATGATGGTGGACGGCTGGCGTGCGACGTACCCAGAGACCAGAGACTACACCTTCTATCGAACTCTGAATGAGCGAGCAATTCTATCAAGACTGGACAGGATATATACCACGGAAGAGCTGTGGACGATGTCGAGAGACTGGAGAATAATGGAAACAGGAATCAGCACAGACCACAAGATGGTATCAGTCCAGTTAGCTACAATGAACTCGCCTGTAGTCGGGCCGGGCAGGCCCATTTTCCCCATCTTCCTGCTAAAGGAGAAGAAGCTTAAGCAGAAAATGAAAGAGCGAGGCATGAGAGCAATACGAGACCTACAAAAACTCGAAGCCGGAGAACCGAGAACGGAGACGTTCAACCCGCAAACAATCCTGCATGCTATGAAAAGCGACATGATGAAGGATGCCCGCAAAAGAGAAAAGGAAACGGTTCCGAAGCTACTTGCGAAAATAGCGGTGCTCGAGTGTGAGCTTGAGAAGTGGAAAAACACTTCTATAACAGGTGAAGAAGACAGGGCTGCGGAGATGGCAGCCCTGTCGAAGCAAATCAGCAATCTGCGGCTGCAGAGACATAAGCAAATGCAGCAAAATGCGCGTGCAAAGCATAGGAAAGAGGGGGAACGGCCTACGAAATACTGGACTAAAATCAACAAAGAATGCGCACCAAGGGACCTGATAGCAGCACTCGAAAAGCCGGGGGAGAGATCACTAGCTGGCGAAAGGACGTACGAGTCGAACCCAGTGAAAATGGCGGAGATGGCGCGCAAGCATCACGTCGCAGTGCAAGAAGACAACCCCGGTGAGAGAGACCCGCAGGCAAGGGAACGAGATGTGATGACAGCCCTAGAAAGCATACAAACAAGCGTGAGCGAAGAGCAGGCTTTGGAGATGGACCAGAACATAGCATGGGACGAATGCGAGCTCGCACTACGCTTCTCGAAAAGCGGCTCTGCCCCTGGGCTAGATGGCATCCCCTATGAGGTCTGGAAGACGCTGCACGAGAGATTCAAGGAGGACTCACGTCACGAGGACAGGGAGGCTTTTAATGTCCTCAAGGTTTTTGAGGCAGCGTTCCGTGACATCCAGCAGAACGGCGTGTGCATATCTACGGGTTTCGCAGACGGTTGGATGTGCCCAATCTACAAGAAAAAAGGTGAACGCACGAAGATAGCGAACTACAGACCCATTACACTACTGAACACAGACTATAAGCTACTGACCAAAGTCATGGCGATCAGGCTAGCAAACGTAGCTCCGGAAATCATACATCCGGCGCAGGCAGGATTTGTCCCCGGACGGAGACTACACGACCACACGCAATTGGCCAGAATGATGATGACCTGGGCGGAAACAAATGAAGTCAACGGCGCAATAGTTGCCCTAGACCAAGAAAAAGCATACGACAAAATCGCGCACGACTACCTATGGCGGGTTCTCCAGCGTTTCGGCTTACCGGAAAGATACATAAGAATAATTCAAGCCCTGTATGAGAACGCGGAGACGTCAGTCATGGTGAACGGGGTCATGAGTAAGCCATACAAAGTGTGCAGAGGCGTAAGACAAGGGGATCCCTTGTCATGTCTGCTTTTCGACCTGGCAATAGAACCGCTGTCAGCGATGATCAGGAACTCAGACCTCAAAGGATATGAGATACCTGGTAGGATAGAAGCTCTGAAAGCAACACTGTTCGCAGACGACACGACAGTCTACCTTGCAGAGAGTGACGACTTTGCTGACCTACAACGTATTTTAGATACGTGGTGCTCCGCGGCGAAAGCACGATTCAACATATCAAAAACGGAGATCATCCCACTGGGCACACCAGAATTTCGGAGTCAAATGGTCACACAATACACGCAAACGGGAGAGTGGGGAAATTACCCCAAGAACGTACGCATGGCAGGCGACGGGGACACCGTACGAATCCTAGGCGCCTTTCTCGGGTACGGTGCGGACCAAATGGCGGTCTGGTCCCCTCGCCTAGCTAAGATTGCAGAGGTGGTGAACCGCTGGAAATTAAGCCATGCAAAACTAGACGGAAGACGACACGTCGCACAGATGATTGTAGGAGGGATGTCCCAGTTTCTAACAGACGTACAACTAATGCCGAGAGAGGTGATGAGAAGACTCACGAGAATAGTGCGAGACTTCATATGGAGTGACAAAGTCAGCACGCCCGTAGCGATGAAACATCTGTATCAAAAAGTGGATGAGGGTGGCCTAAGCCTACTAGACCTAGAAGCTAGGAACGAGGCGATATTAGTGATGTGGCTGAAATCGTATCTCAATTTCGGACCGGACAGACCGCTATGGGCATTCGTTGCGGACGACCTCTTCGCGAGCCCAATGCCTGACGGAGGCGTACCGAGGCAGAGGGAGCTGAGAGTCAACCCCTTCCTCCAGTCATGGAAACCGAAAAAACAGACCTTGCCTGTGGAGCTCAAAGAGATGATGAGAGTAGCAAAGAAATACGGACTGAGGCTAGAAGGACTAGCCTTCTCTAGGCAGATAATGCGCTCCATGCCCATGTGGGACCACGCGTGTGCGGATAAAGCAGCGGTACGGCGACTGGCGGCTATGTCAAATGCAACAAAGTGCCTGATGACGAAACACCGTTTGAGGACAGTAGGGGACTTCGCCGATCTAGTTGAAAATGCGGACATGGCGGGACATAACATGGAAAGTGAGAAGTGCGAATGTACATCCTGCAAGGAGATAAGGGAACGTACAGGATGCGAAAACCCGACCGCGTGTATGAGCCGAGCTTCACGTTTCCTAGCAACGCTGGCACCGAGATGGGATCCGAGAGGCGTCCATCCAGAAGACTACGAAAGAGATGAAGAAGAGGAGCCCCCGGAGGAAGGGGCGGAGTGGTTCGACCGCAGAATAACTATACATGGACACATCGGGGATGCCTTTAGAATATTCACGGACGAGGACTCACCAGGTATACAGAGAATTGACATGCGCCCCCAGGAAAGTGAGCAACTTGTGGTGGTCGCAACAGATGGCTCCTGCATTAACAATGGTCAGAGAGGAGCTATCGCAGGAGCAGGTGTATACGTAGACGATAATCACCATATGAATGCGAGCCTACGGCTACCAGCCGATATGGACCAGTCGAATCAAACGGGAGAGATGGTAGCGACCCTAATTGCAACAATGAAAGCGGACGAAACCACGAGGCTACTGGAGATCACCGATTCAAGAACAGTCATGGGAGGGGTCCTAGAATGGAAACAGAAGCACGAGGACCAGGGATATATCATGCAGAAGAACGCACACCTGGCGAGGGCACTTATTGCCGCCCTTAGGAATAGAAAAGCGCGGACAGCCTTTAAATGGGTTAAAGGCCACAGGGGTCACCCGCTAAACGAGAAAGCAGACAGGTTAGCAGGCGAAGCAGTGGCAAGGGAAATCCCGGATGATCTGGCGATCAGCACCCCGCCAAATCTACGCCTATCGGGGGCGAAGCTATTCTGCATGACCCAGAAATTAGCATATCGCGCGATAAGGTCAATTAAGGAGAAATCCCTACCACGCAGAAAGCGGACTGAAAAGAACCTAGAGAACATTGAGGCCAAGATCAGAGAAGGTTTCGGGATATACCCCACCAACCAAATGATATGGAAGGGACTACGTTCACGACACATCACCTATACAGTGCGATACTTCCTTTGGATGGCGATACACGATGGATATATGATCGGAGACCAGTGGATGCGCCCTAACATGTCAGCTGAGCTACAAGAACGGGCAACATGTAATAAGTGTGGGAGCACAGAGTCGATGGAGCACATCCTGTTCCAGTGTGAGGCGGCGGGGCAGCAAAAGATATGGTCACTGATGAAGGACGCGTGGTCACATACGAAGATCCCCTGGAGGGAACCAGGATGGGGTGCACTAGGCATCAGCAAATTGTGCAAACAATGGTATTGCATGGCCACAGCGCCCGAAACTGGCCTACCCTTTCCGGAAACCACAAGCGCCTACTAATACTGGCCAACTCCCATCGCGTCCGACAGACTCCGGCCATTGAACATCTGTGCGCATGGATCCCGGCAATGGTAGGTAGGTATTCAACTTGTCCTTTTACTTCATACCACTAATCGTCATTAGGAAAAGTGCGTATACGTCGAGAATATGCAAGGCGCCCCGCTGCATCACAGCCGCCTCCTCCTCGGCACTTCTTACTAACTCTCCCCGATCTCCCACTTCCGAACGTGCTCCACATCCTCCTCCATCTTCCTTTCCGCCTCCTCCCTCTCCACCTCCTTGTCTACGCATACGCCCCCGCCGTCATGAGCGGCGACATGGGGGGCAGGTCAGGTTGCAGCCTGCCCAATTGGGTCCAAGTGCCGATGCGGGTAGAGCGGGTGAGTGTGGGGCAACTCAGGCGGCGGTGTTGCATTCTGTCAGATCTGATGGTGTTGTCGCTGTGGATGACAGTGTCCACAACCCAACCAACCAGACACCTGGTGCATGGGCGTGCAGTGTCTACCCGGTGTGGTGCCATTCCCTTCACGATCTTCACCCTGCCTTCTTACTGCGTGTACTCTCCACTGATCAATCTTCGATCTTGCTCATCGATGACACGTACTTTAGGCTCTCAACTCAATCGACGGCCTGTCAGCCTGCCTGCCCTGCCCTGAACCATCACTTGCAAAACCCCCCACCTCTCGACACCGCGTCTGCATACCTCCTTCATCACCCGCTACGACCTGCCAATCCTACAACACGCCCCTTGGGCTCTAATGTTTGTAAGTCGTGCCAAGAATGCCCCAGCTACTAATGTCTAGGTTCCACCTTCCTGGCTTCGACATCTCAGAAACACCCCATAGGTATGTACGATGTGCGCATACTAATTCTTTCTTGCTCTTGCCCTTGCCGTAAGCCTCGTCGCCTCACTCACTTTTCGGATTGTTGCATAGACATTAGTATTGTTGCGCACCTGTAACTTTGCGTCTCGGATGACCCTTGCT